GGCACCTTCCTAGGGAGGTGTTCCAGGATACGCTGGAGGGACTATGTCTCTCGGCTGGCCTGGGAACGCCTTGGCATTCCCCCGGAGGAGCTGGAAGAAGTGTCTGGAGAGAGGGAAGTCTGGGCATCTTTGCTTAGACTGCTGCCCCCGCGACCCGGTCCCGGATAAGCGGAGGAAAATGGATGGATGGATGGATAATTCTGTTGTACACCATTTCATTTGCTCAAAATATGCTAGAGCCTACCTGCAAACCTTATACAGACCTAGTAAAATTCATATGCAATGGTGTTAAAAACATCATCTTATGGCACTTTATTATTGATAGGCTCATTGGGATCTGAAATTCTGACATAAATCTTCTCTTTAAAATGAATTATTATGGCCTAAAAAACCACACAAAATCAGACAAAAAATGAAAAGTCAGAAGTTACTGTATTTGTCACCACTTGTCATGAACATGTAATAGCTGACAAGATTTGTGCTCCTGTGTGAACTCCATGGTTCCTGTCCTCTCTATATCGAGGAGAGAGTGACCTTGTAACTGTGTGGTGACCATGGGGATAATCCCTTGTAAAAGGAAGTAGATTTGGGGATTCCCTGATTGGGAAGTAATCCTGGGCAAGTTTCTGTGCGTCATAGTCACCACATTAGGAGACTAGGCTATATGAAAAAACACCAAGTATCCAATAAACACTGGTTATTTCATTATATTTCACTTTTGACTGTATAACTAAAAATGCTGGAAATGCTAAAAAATAAGAAAGAAATCAAACCTTCTATCTCAACTCAACTCACTCAACTCAACTTTATTTATATAGCGCTTTACCACAGCACAGCTGACCAAAGCACTTAACATATCATACAAATATAAAAAAAACAACACATAAAAAGCTATAAACAGTAATATAAACACTAACACTACAGACAGAGTCTCATTCCTGGTCAAACGCCAATGAATACAAGTATGTCTTCAGATAAGACTTAAAAGTAGACAGTGAGGGGGCCTGCCTAATATAAAGCGGCAACGCATTCCATAGGTTTGGACCTACCACAGCAAAGGCTCTATCCCCCCTAGTTTTCCGCCTGGCCCTCGGTGCCTCCAGAAGAAGCTGATCTGCTGATCTGAGGCACCGCGACGGGTTATATGGACGTAAAAGTTCCACCAGATAAGATGGTGCCAGCCCATTTAAGGATTTATAAACAAATAAAAGAATCTTAAAACGAACCCTAAAACGCACAGGAAGCCATTGAAGAGATGCCAGGACTGAGGTTATGTGGTCCCTCTTATGCCCCCCCAACCAATAACCAAGCGGCAGCATTCTGGACCCTCTGGAGGCGGGCAAGACCCGATTGACTAACTCCAGCGTACAGTGCATTACAGTAATCCATGCGTGATGTAACAAACGCATGGATCACTGTCTCCAGATGCTGCCGCGACAAAAAAGGTTTTAAAAAATCATCAGTCAGTCGATATTGCTAGACAAATCCAACATGTCTTTGGTTTTACAAACAGGCTATAATAGAAAAGAAAACAAACGCACTTGAGAGCGAGGTGACTTGGACATTGGGATTTCGAAGCTTTGCAGGAGCTATTGAACATGTCGTGCGCAGATGCTGTGCGGGTACCAGCTCCTGGTTTATGTCAGTAAATCAGCCTTCTGCTATGACATTGTTTGGCTCAAAGTGAATGTGGAGTATGAAGTGTGAAGAAACGGTAGGTGAAACTGACAGCAACGTGATTCAGGCTTTAGCCCAGTGTACATGTTCCCCTCTGTGTTTCAATTCAGACAGGGCTTTTTGCCATGAACTGTTAGCTGACTTAGCTTTTTTTTTTTTT